ACCTTTCCAGTATAAAGGGTCAGAGTATAAGAAGGGGGAAAAAAAGGCATCTGGACATCTACCCTCCCCCATCTCTATTCAGGGCAGCAAGATCACTTGAAAGACAATAGGAGCATCATTGAGCTGGGGGAGTGGTCCTGGCTGGAAGGAAGGCTTTCCAGTGAGTACGGACTGCTGAAAGATTTTAGGTGAGAGAAATCCTTTTGCTTGTAAGGGTACGTCTACACTCCAAACCTAAGTTGACCTGTATTAGGTTGACTTACAGCCACCACAGTAATGACTGTTGTAGCCAATGTTCACCCTATCCTGCTTGGGTTGCTAGGGTGCGTCCTCACCAGGAGCGCTTCCACTGACCTAAGAGGGGTAGTGTGGGGAGCTGAGAGGCCAGTTTCTTCACTCCAGTAGCAGCCCCCTCCGAGAAGCCAGGCTGCCCTGCAAGCTCTGGGTGGGCTGTTCCCCCTAAGAGTGGAGGAAGCCACCCGGGGCTTCTCCCCGCCCCCCCACCATTCCCCTCCCAGTTTGACACCAGACCATAGATAACTACTCTGAGTGCAGTCTTTAATTGTGCACCCAACTTCTAGTAATTTCATCTAGACCAGGGGTCGGCAACCTTTCAGAAGTGGTGTGCCGAGTCTTCATTTATTCACTCTAATTTAAGGTTTTGCGTGCCAGTAATACATTTTCATGTTTTTAGAAGGTCTCTTTCTATAAGTCTATAATATATAACTAAACTATTGTTGTATGTAAAGTAAATAAGGTTTTTAAAATGTTTAAGAAGCCTCATTTAAAATTAAAGTAAAATGCAGAGCCCCCCGGACCGGTGGCCAGGACCCGGGCAGTGAGTGCCACTGAAAATCAACTCACGTGCCACCTTCGGCATGCGTGCCATAGGTTGCCTACCCCTGATCTAGACCAACGAATTCCTCCCTGCTGGTCAGAACTGAGTCTAACCCACCTCCCCCCTGGTTACTTCCCCCACCATCAGAAAGCAGAAGTTGTCCCTGACGCATTCTCAGCACTCATTGCACATTGGGTGCTGTTAAGGTGGCCAGGCAAAAAGGGGACCTGACAGTGTCTGGTCAGATCTACTGACTGGACACCCAAAGTCGAGCTACAGTGGGTGGGAAGGCACTGGGTCATCACCTTCACCAGCCCCTACTCAGCCAGGGCTGCCCCCAACCTGCATTGGGCGGCTGCAGCTCCCAGCCCCAGCTCCACAGGCAAATCCCTCTTGACCCAGGGCAGGGAGGGTGGGAAGAGGAGTGGATGGGGGCAGAGCCTTGGGGGAAGAGGCAGGGCCTTGGGGAGACTAGGAGTGGTAGGGGTGGGGCCTTGGGGAGAAGAAGCAGGGCAGGAGAGGTCCTGCTGTAGTGTCTGGTTTTAAAATATTACCTGGTTGGCAACCCAAGTCGCTAGGTGAGAGGCTGTGGAAAATATTAACCAACATACAAATATCACTTTTAACAGCAACAGAGCTACTAGCTAACAATAAATAAATGACAATGATTTTGATGTGTCTATGGGTCAGGGGACTGTTGGCCCCTCACTGAAATTTAATGGGGGTGGGGGCGGCTTTGGGTGACCCTCTCCCAAAAGCCAGGGAAGGGCCAATGAGAAATAAATACCTTGAGACTAGTCCCCAGGGCCAATGGGGAGAGGTTAACACTCTAGAGAAACTCTTCTTTGACTTCAGCCTCTCCTTGCTTGCTAACCACACGGTAGCTAAACTACACCGGGCCCTCGCAAGAACGCAGGATTTGGGATCCATGCCAAGTCCCGCGTTCTCGCGGGGACCACATTACAATGAAAATTAATGACCGTTACTAAATTTGGGATCCGCGACCACGTTCTATTGGAATTTGCATTATATAGACATGTGTTCTAGCGAGGGTCCGGTGTATATCTCTTCCTAACTAGGCACTGCCAGCCAGGGAAATGTAACTCGGACAGACAGCATTGTCTGTTACCCCTGTCATATATGGGGATGGTCATGTCGGTGAGTCTGTGACTGCGATGCTCACAAAGGTGTGAGGGCGCAATCTGACAGCTGTAACAAAAGTATATTAAGCTTAGGGTTAGAATCAGTGTCACCGTGAGATGTGTCCCCTGCTGTTCTCTCTAGGACCAGGACTCCATGACTGTCGATATTGGGGACTCTCTGGAAGAACTGTGGGTCTCTATAGAAATGCCCGTTCTCCACCCCTCCTCAGGATCCCGATGTCTCCTTTCTGTCCTTCCATCGACTCGGTGGCTTTTATGGATGATGCCCCTATAGTGCTGTGGCTGGGGGACGTGGAGGCTCTGAGGGGCAGGGTCTGGGGCGGGGAGGTTTCAGTACAATGGGTTTTACTGGTCGGGCCCAGTGGGAGCAGTCAATGGAGTTCCTCATTCCCGGCAGCAGGAAGGGAATCGCACTCACTGCAGTAACTGGTCATTGCTGTGCGGAATCCCGGTTCCCTGCAAAATCCCAAAGCCCTGGCTGTAGATAGGAGAAGTGTATAGTGTAAGGCGGTAACATTCCTGCTGTGCCTCAGGGGCCTCTCCCAGGCAGAGCCCCCAGCCTGACCAGGGCCCCCCTGCCGCCCAGCCCCTGCCCATAGAGAGGGCACCGCTTGGAGGGAAGGTAAGGAGCGATGCCTCCCATTTACACCTGCAGGGGGAGCTGGCTAAAGAGGTGCAGGGGGATGTGTGGGCAGGCGGGGGGAACAGGGATATGTTAGGTGGCAGGAAACAGGTGATGAGGATGCAGGGGGCAGCGAGGATGGGGTTTTGCAGGGGAGTCGGGCTGCAGGAGGAGAATTATGGGGCTGAGGAGAACGAGGCTGGAATCAGGTAAAATGTGAGTGGGGGACACTGTGAGGGACAGGGGGAGATGTGGGGAGAGGAGGCTGGAGGAAGAATGTAAGAGCAAGAGGAGACTGGATGGGGAAGGGAGAGCCAGAGAAGCAGGGATAAGGAAGAAGGGTGGGGAGAGATACAAGGGCAGCTCTCTGACTCTGTGGGGTAGGAGAGAGTGAGGGGCTGCCCCACCCAGCAGCCAGTGGGAATTTTTCACCCTGGAAGTGGTAAAACGAGCATAGGGGGGTGAGCAGGGGTCTGTCTCTTGAGTGTGCAGAGCTGCCCCAGGTCCTGGTCTGATTTCCCTGCAACATTTAGATCTCAGCCGCACCGGGTGTCAGACCGGAGTCACTGCTGGCTCTGGGGGGCGCGGGGGGAGGTGCAGATAGGCCAATGAGATCAGCTTCTGCCTGCCTGTCCCCGGGGGCTGCTGGCGGTGGGGAGAGTCCAGGGCAGCTCATTCTTCAGGTGATGCCACCAGAGGGCTCCGGCTGTTGCTAAGGGGGAGGGGTTTACACTGCAATGGGGGGCAATCCCCCAAAGTGGCCCCTTTGATTCTGCTCTTTTTCTAGTGTTTGGCTCAGAGATGCTGTTACTGGGAGGGACTGAAGAGCCTGGGGGGAATCGGGGTGTGACATGGACTGAAGCCCCTTCTGTAACCTCCCCCATCGCCTCTCTTGCCCCGACAGGCTGAGGAATCACGTCCACGTTTCGCTCCAGATCGTCCCGTCTTCCAGGAGACAGGGAAGGGAAATGGCAGTGATGGAGCCAGCTCAGGTAGGGGATTGTCAGGGAGTTGCTGGGCAGGGGGGAGGGAGAGGCATGGAGAAGACAGGGTCTGATAAACCTGCTGATTTTCTGAGTAGGCCCATTAGCAGCAGGGACGGAGGCGACATTCCCATATTTGTCAAACAGGACACAACCACCTGGGCAGGGCTGGGAACATTTTCCAGGCTCCCAGTGCTGGAGCCTGAACCCGTTAGCCAGAGGCTGCTGTGAAATAGAAAGGGAAGCTGTTGGGATTCCTGTCCCTGTCCCCAGCTCAGAGCTCTGCTTCCCGTATCAGCCTGTGGCTGGCAGGTGTGTGGAAAATGAGAGAAGACCCTGCCCTGCTCCGTGTGCTGGGGGGGACAAGGAGCGCTCAGCTTCTCCCACCCCCTGAAGCCTCCTGGCTGCTCTGAGCAGGGTGGGGGTGGGATTCTGCAACTCTGGCCCTCCCAGAGCTTCACTTTTTCCCCCCTCTTTCCCGTGACTAGTGGGACTGTGGCTGGGGCAGCAGGTGCTGAATGGGGGACTCTTGTTGTCGCAGGTGCCAGTGACCTTTGAGGATGTGGCTGTGTATTTCACCCAGGGGCAGGGGGCTCTACTGGACCCCGCTCAGAGAGCCCTCTACAGGGACATCATGCAGGAGAACTATGAGACGGTGACCTCGCTGGGTAAGGAATTCCCGTCCCCACGGTTATTAGAAAGTGTAGGGCCTGCATTTCTGATGCTGGTTACGTTCTTCCCTGATCAGTTAGGTTTGAGGAGAATTTGTCTCATAGTCCACAGCTGCAGTATGAGAGAGACGTGCATCTCTGTACCCTCTCCAATGGGACCACAGTGTCAAAACCTAATGGATATGCTAAACCATTCCCACCCACCCCCACCGTTCAATGGGGCAGAAGTTGTGCATTGTTCTGTCTGTATTATTTCTCATTCATACACAGCATCACTGTTCACCTCCCTCCTTGGGACTAGCTCCAGCCATGGAGAGAGCTCTGGGCTCCGCAGATTTAGAAATAGGCAGGGCTTTAATTCTAGAGCTGTGTGTTTGTCAGCAAGGCCCCCAGAGTGCACAGATCCCGCAAACTCCTAGTGAGGGTGTAACAATTCCCCCACCTCCCCAGACATCTGCCTCCCCCAAGGGGGCTCAGTGACCCTGTTCCCATCCTCTTGGATTCCGATTCCTCCAGCACAGCAACAGGACATGGAATGTCCTTTCTGACAAACGCTCTCTCAATCTTCCATGCACCCTGATCTGGTCTGATTTCACCCCCTACGCAGGATTTCCCCTTCCCAAACCTGAGCTGATCACCCGGCTGGAACGAGGGGAAGAGCCGTGGGTCCCGGATCTCCAGATCTGCGAGGAAAGAGAGATCCCAAGAGGCGACCGCACAGGTGAGGGCTGACACAGAATCCATTTGGTGAATGAAGGACAAAGTTAAGAATCCCCAAAATATGGTGTGAGTAACACCCTCAGTTCTTCCTCATCTCAGCCAGAGCAGGGCTGCAGTCAGCAGATATCGCTCACGGCTTTCCAACCACCCTGTTAGCTGCAGGAGTTTCCTTCCCTGTGAGTGTTTGTGTGGGATGTTTAGGCAGAATCCAATTGCTCAGTCTTTGTGTTGGGTTTTCCCTCGGTGCTATTCCTCTTTCTCCCCAGCACCATGACTCCAGTCTGGATTGTCTCTCTCCCAGCAGGTGCTGAGCGAGGGAGTGAGAATGAGGAGGGGAATCATGAGGATGTTCCTAGTGAAGTGGATGAATGTATTATATGTGGGGGAAGACCCAAGGATCCCACAGCCCAGCAGACAAATCCCAGTGAAGAGAAACCCTATCAGTGCCTCAAATGTGGGAAAGGATTCATTCTAAGATCACAGCTTGTGACATATCAGACAATCCATACTAGAGAGAAACCCCTTCAATGCTTGGACCATGGCAAAAGCTTCAATAATCGCTCAGACCTGAAAAACCATGGGAGATGCCACACAAGAGAGAAACCCTTTCAATGCCTTGAGTGCAAGAAATCTTTCTACTCTAAGTCAGCACTAATAACACATCAGAGAATTCACGCAGAAGAGAGACCCCATAAGTGCTTGGACTGTGGGAAAAGTTTCACACGGAGATCAGTCCTCATTCAACATGGGAGAATCCACACAGGAGAGAGACCCCATAAGTGCTTGGACTGTGGGAAAAGTTTCAGATACAGATCAGTCCTTCTTTCACATCTGA